GTGGTAATAGGAACATTGGGGGCTGTGACCCCCAAACTGGGAGAGTGTGGAGCCACTGATCCCAGGAACAACATCTGAGATCTCTGTCCAGAAGAGTGCAGTGCTAGGAACAGCTAAGATACTGCGCAGGACCCTCAAGCTCCCAGGCCTCTGGTAGAGGACCCGAGCTTGAAGGAAGGAATACAAGATGGCCCCAAGTGGGGGGTGAGTGGGGAATTTTATATAGCATATATATATTGTGTATATATAAGTCAGTAGGCCAGTGAGATTCTTCCCCTGGGGATGAATCCTATTGCTAAATATCTCTGTCAAACAACGATGGTTCATACAGAATAACAGAATAATGACTAAGAATTTGGTAGCTGCAAATGAATCGAAATGAACACACAATTCCATCATTTGCCTTCGGAAACTTAAAAACTGAATATGCACATACACAGCATGAGATTTAAATAGGATTTTCAATGGATCACTTTAAAGCATACAACAAAAAGGCTTTTCCAATACATATACACTGATAAAACTAATAAATCAAAGTATACCGTGTTCATTAGCTAGTGTATTGTAAAACCTTTCCTTGACTACATTGTCAGATAGTTTTTTGCTAATGAAAATTTATAACAATTGTACATTGGGAGGGGGCTTATTAGAATTCCGAGGGTCAGCAGCCTTGGGAGGCCTTCAACAATAACTAAAAAGCTTAGTACAATACCTGAATCAGAGAAAATCATACAAAAAAGTCCCTTTGAAAGAAGTTGCTTTAGCTGTATCTGTGTTGTCTATGTCTTTGAAACACTGCATAAAGGGCCATATTCTTTTTAATGCAATTAGAAATGAAAGAAAAAAATCTAGAACGCTTTTTCAGTAAAATGGGCAATGGACAAAAGGCCAATTTTTTCCTTTTTGAGGAAAAGTCCTTGGGTCTTTTTAAGCGCATTAGTCCGCTAATTAAATATGATATGTTTAAAGAAAAATGCCACTTCGAAGGCAGCTGGATTGTTTGACTCAAAGACACGACTGCAGCCTTGATGAGTGGAACTGTGTGTGACCATGAGGAGGTAAAGCACGGCATTGTTGCCGGTCCTTCCCTCATCTGACCCGCTGTAATCCTTTGTACTGATTTTACAATCACATTCCCTTTTGTGCTTCTCTCACGGATAAAGACACTAGGCACAGATATGCAGAGAAAGGGACTGTGACATTTCTGAACATGTTGTACCCATTTTGTACAGTCTATGTTTGTTTCATTGACTGCACACCAACTTTTGTTAACAGTTCAAAACTATGTGAATAGCTTTGCGTTAAAACTACTGTGCATGATTTCAAATTAAGCAATGTTCAAGTTTTACACTTGAACATCTCTCAATTCCATGAAAGAAGAGAGAAAATATGATTTCAGCGTATTGGGAATTCATCTGACATATTTAATGTTTTCATCTCAATGGAGCTATTCGCTTCCTCCTTTTGAGTTTCCCTGCCAGCCTAATTTTTAACCTGTTAACCCTTTCTACTGTTGTGACACAGCCCGGTTTCTCTAGGAATCATGTACCGTAACACCGAATGCCAATACAAGCAGTAGTTTGTCATTTTAAGGAAAGTAAACGTGCTGTTTGTGATTAGAATGAACTTTCAAGATCAGATTTACTCTCAAAGTTTTTCAGGTGTTCTCCCCACAGTGTCCACTCCCCATCACTAAAAACTTATTAAGGCTTCATGGTTGTGTTTAGGCAACTCAAAACATTTGGTCAAGGTCTCATAAATATTGTGGTTAGAGGTGCACCGAACTTTCGGCCACCAAAAATTTTCGCCTGAAAAGGCCATTTTTATTTCGGGCCGGAATAAAAAAAACACGCCGAAAATGTCCCACCCCGCCCATCCTCTCGCAGCACAGGTTAGGTTTCACTCACACTGGAGCTGTTATATCACGCGTCTTCCCATCAACGACAAAGCATGTCAGCGGTATGGAAGCATTTTGAAGTTTCAGGTGAGGACACCAAAGTTGCAATATGCAACATTTGTTCTGCGAAAATATCAAGAGGAAAGAACTTTTCGACAACAGGTTTGATACACCACCTGAAAACACGACATCCAATTGAATATGAGGCGCTACCTAGGCTATGTTGTTTACAGATTGTTTGGAAGTTCTATTGCTGTTTTTGCACTGTTTTGCATTGTTTTGCACAGCAATTTAAATTGTTTGAGTGTTACATAAAACGTATTGAATGCTACATAAAACTTGAATAATATTATTTGGTATTGTTTATTGTTAAAAATATTTTAGATTTTAGTTTTTCATTTCAGATTCATCAAATTCACGTAATTTATATATTTGTACACATACAGTGCCTTGCGAAAGTATTCGGCCCCCTTGAACTTTGCGACCTTTTGCCACATTTCAGGCTTCAAACATAAAGATATAAAACTGTAATTTTTTGTGAAGAATCAACAACAAGTGGGACACAATCATGAAGTGGAACGAAATTTATTGGATATTTCAAACTTTTTTAACAAATAAAAAAACTGAAAAATTGGGCGTGCAAAATTATTCAACCCCCTTAAGTTAATACGTTGTAGCGCCACCTTTTGCTGCGATTACAGCTGTAAGTCACTTGGGGTATGTCTCTATCAGTTTTGCACATCGAGAGACTGAAATTTTTGCCCATGCCTCCTTGCAAAACAGCTCGAGCTCAGTGAGGTTGGATGGAGAGCGTTTGTGAACAGCAGTTGTCAGTTCTTTCCACAGATTCTCGATTGGATTCAGGTCTGGACTTTGACTTGGCCATTCTAACACCTGGATATGTTTATTTGTGAACCATTCCATTGTAGATTTTGCTTTATGTTTTGGATCATTGTCTTGTTGGAAGACAAATCTCCGTCCCAGTCTCAGGTCTTTTGCAGACTCCATCAGGTTTCCTTCCAGAATGGTCCTGTATTTGGCTCCATCCATCTTCCCATCAATTTTAACCATCTTCCCGGTCCCTGCTGAAGAAAAGCAGGCCCAAAACATGATGCTGCCACCACCATGTTTGACAATGGGGATGGTGTGTTCAGGGTGATGAGCTGTGTTGCTTTTACGCCAAACATAACGTTTTGCATTGTTGCCAAAAAGTTCGATTTTGGTTTCATCTGACCAGAGCACCTTCTTCCACATGTTTGGTGCGTCTCCCAGGTGGCTTGTGGCAAACTTTAAACGACACTTTTTATGGATATCTTTAAGAAATGGCTTTCTTCTTGCCACTCTTCCATAAAGGCCAGATTTGTGCAGTATACGACTGATTGTTGTCCTATGGACAGAGTCTCCCACCTCAGCTGTAGATCTCTGCAGTTCATCCAGAGTGATCATGGGCCTCTTGGCTGCATCTCTGATCAGTCTTCTCCTTGTATGAGCTGAAAGTTTAGAGGGACGGCCAGGTCTTGGTAGATTTGCAGTGGTCTGATACTCCTTCCATTTCAATATTATCGCTTGCACAGTGCTCCTTGGGATGTTTAAAGCTTGGGAAATCTTTTTGTATCCAAATCCGGCTTTAAACTTCTCCACAACAGTATCTCGGACCTGCCTGGTGTGTTCCTTGTTCTTCATGATGCTCTCTGCGCTTTAAACAGACCTCTGAGACTATCACAGTGCAGGTGCATTTATACGGAGACTTGATTACACACAGGTGGATTCTATTTATCATCATTAGTCATTTAGGTCAACATTGGATCATTCAGAGATCCTCACTGAACTTCTGGAGAGAGTTTGCTGCACTGAAAGTAAAGGGGCTGAATAATTTTGCACGCCCAATTATTCAGTTTTTTAATTCTGCCATTCTCCCAACACACTCACTGTAGTATAATGTCATGCTGTCCTACGTGTACACTAAAACAAACCCATTGCCAGTGAACATAATCCAAGTGGTTTTACAAATCTAATTAGTTGGGTATAAAGATAATTCACAGACAGGGTTATGTTTCACACACCTGTATGTGTGACAGTGTTATGTCATTAGTGCTTCACCTGTGCTAGTGTCCCCTGCAGCTCTGCCTCATGTGAAAATAGGCACACTGTCTGATTAAAGGCAGGAGTAGTCACCACATGAGAAAGGACGCTAGCAACTTTGATCACTTCACCTGCAAACAGAAATAAGGACGGCTTTTAATCTTACATCTCGTTGCCTTAGATCACAGAGTAAAAAGTTACACATGTGGAACCTTTTAACTGCACTGCTAATTTCTGTCTCTTAATATTTTTATTCTTTCTCTATGTCAGAGAATTTTTGATTCTACTAAATTTCTGCATGTTTTACAGTGCAGTGGTCCCTCTTCTTAGAACAGTAAGACAGTATATATTACATTATACAGTACATAATAATAGCACCTTTCAAACTACAAAGTACTTTACAATGTCTATTACATTATACACTGATGAGAATTTTACCCATTCAGAAAACATTTGGTTAATGACTTGCAAGACACACTCAAGTGTGAGACAAAGATGTGTAGTATAGTGTCACCACTGCTTCACATGTAATGCAAATTACATTACACTTATTATGAAGTATACTGTATTAAATAGCACCTGTAAATAAAAGTTACCTCTTACTACTTCTATAAGCTGCAGCAGTGTTTAACCTGCTATTACACCGTGAAATGGTTCTGTAATGTGAAATCCAACAGAAGTGTAGTAAGAGCACCTTCAGTAAGTCACAGTCAGAAAAGATACTAGGAACGTATTTGTAGCACCTGGGAACGCATTTGTAGCACCTGGGAACGCATTTGGAGCACCTGGGAACGCATCTGGACCACCTGGGAACGCATCTGGACCACCTGGGAACGTATCTGGAGCTCGAAATCATTTTGTAATTTGGACAAACTGGTGATTTCCAGCAGCCTCACAACCTACCTACTAAAATAAGGACCAGTTTGTGCCATGATTTATACACCACTGTCAGTTTATTAGGTAAGCTTGGTGTACTTAATAACCTGCCAAGTGAATGTATGTATTGGCTCATTAACTAAATTCTGTTCAGATATTGTTTATGCACATACTGTAAATGTACACTCAATTTAAAATTTGTGATTGGCCTTATGACTGGTGATCATCCGATAAGGTACTTACAAAGCAGCCTGACAAGTCCTTAGATTTAAAATGACGCACTACTTGGTACATATGCTGATATAAAAACTTTCATCAGAACTGTGGTACACAGCCTGAAAATAACCCTCCAATACATTTTATGATGAGGCTTAGTCTTTACAAGTCTACACTGTGTCTTCAGTTCCCCTATTGTGCGATGTGACAAAGAAGGACACGGGTCACGTCAATGAAAACTCTCCTTGAACTCACAAAGTGGTAACACTACATCTCATTCCAGACAATGCTGCTCCTCTAGCCTCTCTCTCACTCACTGGCAAGCCAAAATATTCCTCCTTCTTCTCAAAGTAGAAGGTGAGTCGTGCCATGGCGTATCTGAGAGGAGAGCATAGAAAAAGAAAACAAGTATTCTTAGTAAATACTGTAAAATGTATATACATCCACAAACACAGCTACTGTAACAGAATGCACTATTTCAAGTGTACTGGCTTCAAATGTAACATGGGACATTAGCTGCACATGCTCTGATGCTCCCGTCTGACTTTCCTTGTCTTTCCAAAACAAATAAACAAATATGAAAATCTATTTTTAAATATAATTTTCAGTCTGTGTGACTTCTTTTGTACAGGGCACATTTAAGCTTAAGGCAGTCAAAATGCTTTGCACTGAACTAAAGTCTATCACATGGTCTGTAATTTCACCATCATGTATACCGTGTTTATGTTTTTAAAACGTCTGCTCTTTCAGTCTGCAGGTCTACAGGACACGAGAGATTCACCCCTGTAAAGTATTAACTGAATCACCACTTAACTTCACCAGGTGTGGGCAAAAGAAATGGAATTTAAGCTTAAGAGAAGCACTTTCACTGAAATGTGATGTACAGTATCTTTTCTCCAGTGTGTGCTGGATCAACCTCCACCACCTGGGACCTGAAAGCAGGTCCAGTATAGAGAAAGGATGAATTGGTAGATGGAGGCAAGAAATTCATCTGGGTCAAAAGTCAACAGTCATCAGACTTGAAGGGTGCTTCTCATTATTTGGCATCACACATTTATCGTGCGACAGTAAACTGAGTATTTAAAAAGTGAGACAAAAATAGTCTTCTAAAACTGAATTTTAAATTTGCCTGCATACATTCAGGTCTGTCATGTCTGAAAACATCATCATCTTCATCAGTGTTTTACACTGATTAAAGTTTTAAAAAAAGACCTGTCAAAAATCAAAACAGCAGAGGCTAAGATACCCTGGCCTGTTGCACCTAGTCTGGGACAAATCACAAAGATTCTGGATCCTACTGTTCCTACAATGCAACATGACGCCTCTTTTATCTGACCCTCTCTGTCTAGTGAACGACCAGCAGAGCATTCCTAGAAGACTCGACCCCTAGCTGAGATGACCCCAGTGATAATGACATTATCAGTGATGACAAAGCTCCTGCAGAACCACAAGCAACACGACAAACTGCTTTTAAACGCTGTTACTCACTAAAAGTGGCATATTTTCTAAGGCTCATTCTTTGGTAGCAAACAGTGGAATCGCATATGTTCGTATTTACTAAGCAGTCACAGTGAGGTTTTACATTGAAGAAACAGAGGAAAAGCGGCACTGCAGGAATTTGTGTGTTTGGTCTCGTACTGTATGTATTTTAAGGTGTTCCCATTCAAGGATGCAAAAATCAGGGAGGAGAGAATGGAAATTTATACAAAAACACCCTCAGTGCCCGATTCACCACCGCTGTGATGGGAGGGAAGCATGGCTGAAGTTTAATCTCAGGAGAAAACAGGTGTAATATGTGCGGCCCTGCTGTCAACGTGGCAGTTGTTAGTCAACTGAGATCTCTGAGTTAAGAACATGTCTGAGGAGGGGGGAGGGCCTTGTAATTTGCATCACTTGCCAGAGGAAAACATGAGGGACTTTTACAGGCTTTCAGGTCAGACCGTCCTTCGGTTACTGAACAAAATAAAAGATTATTTGACTGGCAGAAGACTACCTGACCACCATTCCAAAATACTGTATGTTTGTTGATTTCTTCAACCAGATTAAAGTTCAGTCGCTGTAAACTTAGACTTTCTTCTACACTTCCTCTCCACATGTGCACAACAGCCTACAGGCACCAGCTCCTAAGTGTGTAAAAGTGGGGGAAAGCTTCTTTGAAATGCATACTCACAGGTGTCTCCATTACAAATATGAAAAACAATGTCAAACATGTTCATATTCATATTTATATTAAATATGCCTTAATATATATAGTATTTTACATGGATGACATATCCTACAATCTTGCCTCACAGTATTCAATATTCTCTGAGCTAGAGCATACTTGTGTCCTTTATGGCACATGAAATGGGTCACACACTACAATACGTCTGTATCTCACTGTCTGGGTGCGTCATATACTGTAAGGAACGTAAAGCACGATGCTATAAACTAATCTTAAAGATGTAGACTCATCAGCTGACAGTTAATGGATAGGACAACAAGGTGTTTTTCCCGAGTGCACCACAGGTCACACACTGCAGGTCCTGCATATAGCTCAAGGTGGGCACTAATCTTTTGTTTGCAAAAGTTGCATAACAATATAGCATCAACTCTCTATTCAATAAGGACCAAGTCTGAAAGCTGTGCCAAAGCCTCAGCGCATTTCAGAACTTAACAGTGAAAAAAGTGGTTTTGTATTTGTTCAAACCATATTATCAAACGCTTCAGTAAATCTGATGTCTGAGTACGCTGTTGCCCTTGGCCATTATACAGTACTATACCCTTTGCAATTAAGTGAAGTTTCAAAAGCACAGAAAATGGAGGCACAGAGAGGAGTTGGTCCTTTAATCAGTGCTTTCACTGCAATCCTCAATGCCGAATCAGTTTTCTCTCTCTTATTGCTCGGTGAGACAAAAACATAATTCAGACACATTCCTTTTAGTTACGTGTATTCCATCACTCTGCTCCCCACCTGTATCTCTGGGTAAAACTGCTCTCTAATTATTGTGTCAGTCTGCCTTCTGTTGTCTGCTCTTTGACATTTTTCTTAACAATTGCTTCTTTGCTTCACTTATAGAATACAGACCTGCAACTGACAGAGACTGGTGGTACAGTACACGTCCAACCTCTGCCACTGGAAAACAGTCAAAAAATTAGAATAAAATACAACAGTTTAGAAATCTTGATTTGACCTTGGCAGAGCCAGCACACAATTTTCACTTTTCTTACTGTGGTTTGAGATATTTGGAGTTAATTAGTCAGACTGGTGTCCAGCCAGTCCTGTGTTTTTCATGGATCAGTATTGGCCGAAATAAATGTAATCAAATGCCGATCTTTACTCTGTGTTTTGACCACATGAGCCTGGTAGCGTTGCACCATGGCTCTTTTTTTATGACAACTGACTTCCACTCTGGGAACATCTGCTACAGATGTGAATGAGTGTCTGGTGTCACATCAGTGCAACCGACTGTGTGATAGATTTGCAAAGCTCCGCAGGAACAAATCCACTGTCAGATCTTTTACCATATCTCCACTTTTCTTATTAGCAAAGAGCTGTGTACAAAACACTTTCTCATTTTACTCTAGGCTGTGGCTTTTGCCAGTTAAAATGTCAAACACGGGTCATATCAGCTGTTTGTTCTTAATGTTAATTTTGTGAGAAAGTCGATGAAGGTTCAAAGTGATCGGGTTTATGTGTCTGTACTACTTTGGTGTCAGTGGGGAAGGGGGGGGAGGGCTCCACTGAGTGCTTCTGTCAATATCATGTCAAGAATATAAACCTAGCACCCAAAGTTAAACGATTTAGACAAGGAACAGAGATTTTAGATTTCCTAGAGATGGCCTGGTTTCCAGTCAGTGTTTTCCTGATTTGAGCCTGCAAGCAAAGATTTTAATTGTGAGATGTAGTCTATGTTTTCTTCTCTCTCTCCTCTATCCACTCACCCCAACCAGTCAAGGCAGAAGGCCGCCCACCAAGAGCCGGGATCTGTCGGAGTTTTCTACTATTAAATGGAGCCATTTGTCTGAACCATTGTCACCAAGTGCTGCTCAGGGGGGATTTGTTGGGTTTCCCCTCTGTAATAATAATGATAATAGTAAGGTCTAGACCTTACATTGTAAAGTGTCCTGAGACGAGTCTTGTTGTGATTTGGTGCTATACAAATAAAAATAAATTGAATTATTTGTGACAGATACTATAAGGAGGAGCGAGAGAAAACGTGCACTTTTTCTAGTGAGGTTAAAAATACATAGGCCCCTAAAACTGCACACCTGGCCTGTTCAGTAAAATATATACTGTACATCAGTCAGATGACTGCTTTTATTCTTAAGAAGGCAACATTTCTCTAAAAGTCTATTTATAGCATTAAGAATAAAATAAAGTGAAAAATACTGCAAACATGTTATTATGAATGTTTTTTTTAATCTGCAAGCTGAAAATCTACACCCACACCCTTCATAAGCACAATTACGTTTGAGTATAACCATTTAAAATAGCAGCAGTCTTAACAAATAATCCCATTCATCCCTATGTTTATTGAGCACGACACCAAAACTGGTGTGCTTAACGTTTATCATGATCATCAGAGATGAAACTGAGACATTTTTCTATTTAGCAGAAATAGGGGAAAATGACCTCCTTCCAAAGCAGGTATTCTCTTTCACAATGTGCTTTTGTGCACAATTCCCTCAATTATGCCAGTCAGGTTATTTCAAACAGTGGGCCTCCTCCTCGTTCATTTCCTCATAATGATGTCTTTGTCAAATAATGGCTCGCCTTGCCAACATGTCCACAAATCTTAACCGCTGCCTCGCAACACGTGAATAAAATCATATAAGGAAATAGGGACGGTAGTGCGAGGGCGGGTTTTCGTTCCCCTTGTGGCTCCCTATTGTCACAACTACATCTGGCCCTGGTTAACGCACTAGACCTGGGCGATGCCTGTCACTCGTTGGGAAGTCAACAGAGATTTGGCTCAGGGAGATGACAGTGGGAGGAAACACACACATACACTCACGTGCACAGGGTTTCACTTATTATCACTTTCCTCAACAAAACTTGTTGAGGAAAGTTCACTTGTACTTTTAGTTTTGAATTTGACTCACATCCCATCCACTAACATGGAGGGGGAAGGATTTATGACCTATAGTGCTATCACTACGTCGTGGTGGCTTCATTTCACCGTCCATATTTCATACATCCAAAGCTTTGGAAACAGCCCTGGCATTTATCCACCCCAATCTCTCTACCAAAGTCAAACTAACACTGCTTACTTCTTTGCTATTAAATTTAAAGTAAATACTGTTTATGCCATTTAGACAAGTGACAAAGCCAGTCTGTTAAAGCTATGTGCTATAATGATATGGTATGTGCTCACTGTCCATGTATTTAAATTGAGAACAAACTTGATAAATGCCAGACACATAGTCTTTTTAGAACATGAATGATGAAGTAGAGTTGGCAGAGAAAACTAGAAAATGTATGTGTGTGTCTGTATTGGAAGTTATAGGTTATTGACACCTCCAAACATTCGACCTGGTTCCCCATTGTTATTTTTGCTTTCTGAAATCATTTCAGTTTTACCCTCCGGTTAAAGAAAGGTAACCTGACCCTCACCATGCACTTTAGGACAACCTCAGCCAGTGGATTAGAGGAACAGACGTCTAGCAGGGGCATGTGGCCTAGCCAGGGATGAGAGATGTATATGTAAGGGAGTATCGACGGCACGGGAACAATAGTGCCTCTGTGCCTCGGCACCCCTCTGGATCACATTTCCTCCGAGGTCCAAATCGAAATGAGGAGGGGGCCCTGTCGCTGATCTAGCAAGCGGGCAGAGAAAGCCACACAGAGGGGAGGGTGCCGTACGTCAGTAGTGATTACGATCATGATCACAACTGTGGCGGGTGTGGGGCACAAAAAGAAGGGGAAAGGAAAAAAGTGGGGGTGGAGTGAAATATTTTGCTCCCATGAACTTCATCGTCTGGTTGCTGGTAATGAGTAATGTCTCATGGGGTTGTGTAAAGATAACTAGTCCCTATGTGGATCATCACACATTCAAAAATAAAAGTTTTTATTTCTTTACAAAGTCTGTGTGAAAGCTGAGCCTTAGATGATTTGTGGTGTAAGAGTAAAGTAAAGCAGAAGATTTGATGCATAAAATTCTGTCTGTGTTTCAAACAAGAACAGACGTGTGCTTGTCTGGCCTGTTTTAGGCCAGATTCTGGAAACAACTACTTGAAGCACTGGTGGGGGAAAAAATGAAGTATTTTCACACTCTGGGATCAAGTTCACTGTCCTTTATTGCAATGTCTTTGCCAACAAATTCTTTGTCAGGCAAATCTAATGAATCTCCGGTTGGTTCATTGCAATAAAACACCGAGGGGTTAAAATCAATGGGCAGGACACATTTTTTCATGTGTGATTATTTGATGTGACATATGATGATGTTAAGAACTAAAATAACAGGGTCCCATGAAATTGTACTGAAGTCTTAATTTTCTTGGTGGTTTCACGTGTTTCTACATTAAACAGCTGTTGGTGATGTTAATTTGAAGGTGGTGCTCAATGTCAGGAGGTCTGACAACTTGTAACTCATCTGTCTGTGCAACATTAGATGTGCAAAATATCACAATCCCAGTGCTTCAGGAAACTAGAACAATGTTTATGCCTTTGTCAGAAGTACGAACCTTTGGAAGTCAAAGTCAATAGAGGAGTAGTGTGACTGCAGGATGGCCCAAAGACCCCAGAAGAAGTTGGATGCCTGAGGGAGATGATTAAAAAAAAAACATTAACCCACCAAACTTGTAGTTTAGCCAGTTTGACTAGTTTTCAAATGATTTTTTTTCTTAACTTTTCTGGCCTTTCAAGCAGTCACTGGCTTTCATTCTCTTTTTGCTAAACAAAAATATTTAAAAAATGAAAACCTGCCTGGAATATTCCAACAGTGAACATCATGTCTGCTTTTATCATCGTCACTGTTGCACACAAATGCGGTTGAAGCAGAAATTATTTTGAGAATTGAATTAAAGCACCACAGAGCATAAAAACTAAAGCACACTTAACATTTGGTGCATTCAAATTACATGTTCATATATAAAAAGTGGAAGCGAGAGAAAACAAGCAAGGGAGAAAACTCAGAATGAAAACACACACAGTGATACACCTTAGAGAAGTATTTGCAGATAGAAAATACTCTGATTTGCAGAAAATTACCTAAAACTGTATAGCTAATATATCTGTATTAGGTGTGTGGTTTACTGCAGTAACACTAAGTACTGTGATGTACTTGCATGCTTAGTACAATGCCAGATGTTGTCTTGAAAGGAGCGTCGCCAGGATCATGTGACTCCTACACAAATACACCTTTATGATCTAACTAAGGCAGACAGTCTACAATACTCCTATGAGACTGGAATATATTTTTATAAAATTCTGGATAGAGTTTGTGGTATTTGCAGACTTACAAAAATTTATGTTGCAAACTTTTTAAATTATCACAGTTGCTGCATGGTACACACACTACAGGGACCGGCACTGTCACGTTGTGCTGCTGCACGTTGCTCAGTCAAAATGACAGACCTCTGCATCGAGTGGCTCCCTCTTTAATGGCTTTGCTCACTTAGGGTTGGTGGACTTCCATGCCTCCATAATTTTCTCTTGTTCTCCACCCTTATTGTAAATCTTCATGGTAGGACCACTAATAGCATCCTAACGAGATCCAGACAGGCCTCTGTTCTGTGGCCCAGTGATATAATCACATTTTTATTTGATAATCAAATAAAGGGTGGAATGAAATACTGTGCGGTTTTCTCTTGGCTTTTTTCCATTACTGGCAGATTTTCATTTCTAATCTCTGACTTTAGATGAAGAGAGAGCGATTGAGTACATTTCCATTATGATTAATAACTGCTCTCCATTAATAAAGCATTAGTCCAACACTAAGCAGAGGCCGTCAGTGACAGGGAGCCATTGAGAAAAACAGACATGAGAGTAGCGCGGGGAATGTGACATCACAGAGCCCGAGGCTGCAGCCTCGACATCACGGGGGATCTCTGCAGAGGAGAGGATGAGTCAGAAAGACCCCGGTGTGTCTTGGCACACTTTGCCAGGGATTAAGATTCGAAAGAGGCAGCTTCACACCGCAGAGCTCTGGCATCTGTCCAGGCTTTGTCAATGCCACAGAGCAAAGCCACACAGCTTCCTCCAGTGGTTTCCTTGGTTCCTGAGTGCTCGCTATTCATCTGTATTATCAACTACTGAGACTTAACTACAGTATGAATATAATGTAGTATGATTATTCCAAGCAATGATCCCGTTAAAAAAATGGCATTTAATCCAATTTTAAAAATGGAATATACAGTAAAAAAATACATAAACTAATAGTGGATTATCAGAATTATTTTCAGGTAATTAAAATACAATACTTCACATTATGATATTAGAATTACTCATGACAATGTTACAAGAGAAGGTAATAAGAAATGCATTGGATATTTTGTTTCTTTTGCATCTGTGCCACTACATGTGACAAAGGGTAAGTAATGAAATGCATTAAGTTAAGTGAATAACTATACATAAACACAACATACTACTGGCAAAGTGCCACTGTCTGAGAATATCTTTTTAAATGTTCAGCTCAGTTCCCTGAAATGATGAAAAATAGATAGACCCTGTGATTTTCTCAATTAACCGTCTCAGTATCCCTCATTTTGACACATGGCTTGTCAAAATGAGTCGAGCTGGAAACTTGGCTTGTAAGCATCCATGATCAATTTCTCCCACTTCCCTAGAGTCAAAACTCCTCCTTGGTTTGTCACAGAAAATCTGATTTCAATCAACATGATGTTATCACTTCTCTCACTCCATTCCAGGCCATACCCCCACCCTCCGTTTTTTTTGGCTGAGGCACAAGTTATTTTAAAAAGTAATATGCTTCCTCATCACTTATGGGCTATTTCAAGAGACACTCACACCACCCAAAAATTGGTCAGACAATTCTGCATATTGTGTCGAGCTATGAAAGTACTTTTAGACCGATAGCCCAGCATCACTTGAGCCACCAAAGAATGAAAATTGTGGTCATAAGAAAAATAATTTTGGCTGCTGTCTTTCATTTTTCCCTGCAGCAGTTTCTAATCAACTCAGATGGAGTCCATCAAACTTTGAACAGTGGTGGGTCAGCTGTGGACTGGGTTTGGTTTTCTTCGGCAAGTTTTTTTCTGAGTGCTGGAAAAGTAAATTGTTAAAATGTGACTGCGAGCTGTTGCTGCCCTGTCATTTCAGAGAGCTACACACATATGGATACTGTTCAAATGCGCACACTAATCTCATAATACTGAGATATTTGAGTCCTTCAAAAAGCAAAACTTATAAAAAGGAAATAACTGTTGAAAGATTTGTCACTTTCCAAAGTCTTTCCAAAGTGTTGAGGCACTACATAATGACATATTTCAACATCTCACCAAAGTCGCTGGGAGCAGACACTTACTAGTGAGAATTTGCAGACTTGAATGTAGAGCTGTGTAACTTCTGCCTCTGTAACAGCGACCTCGCGCCCTGTGCTGTGCTTGTAACTCTCCAGATAGGCCAGCAGCCAGTCCCTCTGCAGCTCCTGGCCCGGGTAGAGGCTGTAGTTAACATCATTCACACCTTGAAAACAAAATATACACACATGCATGTTAGTGGAACTATTGTCAGTGTAGAAATTCAGCACATGGTACATAATGGCAGAAAGATGGAATGATGATATTATAGTCCAAGAAACAGCGCATTTCAGCATATCACACACTATATACACACACATACACTGCTCTCAATATTCCTCATTAGGCAGTCCTATGTGTTCCGGGTAGGAAAAAGATTTGGAAGCAAATTGAACTTCTTTTCATCACAACACAAACCTACCAGCAAATTCATTGAAGTGATTGCCAATATCGAAGGCTTGGTAGTTGTAATCAGCGTACTCGTAGTCAATGAATTTCACCATTCCTGATGGAGGAGGAGAGGGAAAGCAGCAGCAGTTACCAGGACAACATGACTGATGAAAAAACACATTAATCTATTTTTACATTACCTTCAATATCAGACTGAGGATGTTACAAAGTTACAACTAAAGAGCTTATCATAAGACAGTATTCAGGTGGGTTTTATCTCGAAGCAACTTATTTCTGTATCGTATCCATCATGTTTTCCAGGGTCAGTGATGTTGCTCACCCTCTTTGTGATTGTAGATGATGTTTTTTGTCAGAAGGTCGTTGTGGCAGAGGACAACCGGCGAGTCAATCCGTGAGAGGTGCTTCTTCAACGACTCCATTTCCGCTGATAAAGTTTCGAAGCTGGGCACCTCTCGTAGAGCAACGGGACTGTAAAAGGTAAAACCACAGAAAAGACAGGGTTGCCACTCCAACACTTGGAGGAATGTTTCATGATAGAGGGGTGCCTTTGATTCGCAGTTGTAAAAGGCAACTGGAAGAATTAGCAAGTTCAACACCCAAGAGCCACTTAAGGTATTGTCAATAAAATGAAAACATCACATTCATGATTATAAACTTAACCAGTGTGCAATCCTTTATACCAAATGCTGCAAACAGACAAGAGCTGCAGCTTTTAGTTTGAATTACTGAAGCTGACAAATACACCACTTTCAGAAAAACCGAGTCAGTCTACTGTTAAGTGGGACAAGGAAACATTCGCCTTCATCTCATTCAGTATTTCAGAGTTAAACTCATACGACAGGTGTCGTCATTATTCAGAAAATATCCAATACACTATCAGGATACTTCACTTCTTTTTGTTGCAATCGTTACTAGATAGGTATATATAGACTGTTACTTGATAGGTGTGTGTGTGTGTGTGTGTAGCACAGTTTATTAGTTTGAAATGTAGTAGGGTGAAAGTACAAAGCACCACAGAATGGAAGCCCTCAGGAAAAGTACGGGATCCTCAAGATAACATTACGATAATAACACGCCACTTAGACTTGAGACGAAGAAAAAACAAGCTTAATAACTAAAATGCCTTTCCTGTTATTTCAAACACTTTATTGTAAAGTGGTACAATTGTTTTGCTACCTGCATTTTCATATGTTCTTTTAAAAGGCTCAGTCTGACCCAGAATTTTCCCTTATACATAATGACTCACCTGCATTTAACAACTGTTCACCCTACAAGAATGTGATTTGTCTGGATTTCAGCAGTGTTAGTGTCTTGCTGTCCACTGTAAATGTTTGCTCCGCACTGGAAAGAAAGAAAATACAGACTTCTTCCAATTTTTCACGGGATACGAACTGATATAAAAATATTTCTGGATTTGAAAAACATTTCCTCTACACACAGAGAACGTGTGTAGAGCAGAGGCCAGAAAAAAATAAGCTGTATAGAAGAAGGGAACACAAGACTTTTATGGGACAGTTTGTGGAGCGAGTAAGAAAGTGTGCTGAAAGATTACCGTTCAACTTTTCATGAACTCCACACTTCTAGGAACAACATGTTTGTAAACTGGAGCAGACTGGCAAGCCTCACTGAGAGGTTACTGCCTTGTTTTCATTCTGTTGATTACACGGTCTATCAAAGCAGGTAGTAACGTCCTTGGACGCCAGTTCAAAACGCACCTGGAAGAAATGCCGCCTAAGCATCCGTCTCCTAATTAATTTTCATGTTTCCTTTTGAGTCATCAGGCCACAAGACGATGGTATTTTAAACAGTGTAACTTAAACACTACCTATTTATTCAAAGGGGAACAAACAGATGCTCCAGTACTATATACACTTGTAGACATAATTTAGCGAGGCCTGTTAGGAACACATAATAAAAGCAGAGGAGCAGAGCCTTGTTTACAGTCATGACACAGAGTCTCGGCTGCCTTATACAACTCCTCCTACACATCCTCAACAACATAATGTCACGTTTGTACATTATCATCCTCTGTTCACTCTGTCTTCTTTCCTAGTGAAGACAAACAGACTGAAGAACGACTGACTAAATTAAAAGCCTGCTGAGAACTTAACTCAACTCAATTATGTACCTAAAAGCAAATACAAAACATATTTTTTAAAAACACTGTATCCTGCTTTAGTTTCTCAGCTTTATGATAAAGATTCAAAGTTATTTCACTTCTATTGTCACCTGAAATGTGTCAGTACTGTACGTTTTTATCTCAAACTGCAGTATAAGCCTAGAATATAGTTGTCGGAGTGTGAGATTCACATCTATTTGCCTACAGTATCAGTTATGTTATTTAAAATCAGCCACCTCTGACACGCATAATTTATCTATCTCCTCTCTAACATGAATTTAAAAACACACAGTTGAATGCTGAATCACCCTGATTCCTTTTCAACCCATCCATTCCTTGAACTTAACAAACTGACTTTATCATAAAAACCCACGATTACACAGAGTCAAAAGCTAAATGAAAGACTTCCATTGACTTTAAATGGAAACCTGTCGTCTTGCCATCAGATCTTTTCCTCTCTTTTCTGCCCTTTTCATGAAGAACACTACGTCAAGTACATTCGCCTCCTGCTCCCTGTCATGTCTCTGTAAGGTAATTAGTGGAATTTCCTCTTCTGGCGCTTCATTATCAATGTGCCTTATTTACATATGATTTCAAACACAAGCCGAGCACTGCTGATTTTTTTTTTCTGGTCCTTTTTGCAGTTTTATGTGATTCGTGGGAATGCGAAGGGGAGCCGTAGCAGGGGGCCTTTGGGAGAAGAGGAGGTTGCTCTCTTGCTCTCCGCTTTTCTCTCTTTTCTCTCCCTTTTCTGACTTCTACTGTGCTCTCTCTCTCTCTCTCTGAACCTTGCAGCTGCTGCAGCTTCTTTCACTCCCCCTCTCTTTTTCTCTCTCTCTATCTCTCTCTTTGCACAGCGGGTGGCTTGAGAGCTGAAGACCTCTGCAGGTGCAGCCTCTTCCTGCTCCCTCTGCCTTTCTTTTACCATTTCCTCAGAAGATCACATTCATAACAGCACTCATACATTCTCAAGTACAAAAGTTTCTCCGATGCCTCCCTTTTGCTTTTTGTGTCATTCTTTGTATTTCTCTGCTTGTGTGTGTGTGTGTGTGTGTCACGTTACACATGCAGTTGAACACTCAAGACAAGTGAATATGCAAACAGACGTACTCGTCACAGAAATTGATTTTAACCACAAATCAACCTGAGAATCTCATGTCTTTAAATCTCATCAGTTTTGCTGTAGCGTTCCTCTGATCACTCTATCAGACTTTTCCAGCGCTCTTTATTATCGTCAGCATCCTAATTATTGATTCTTTTTCCCAGATCATTTTGAGCTGCTCTGTGTGTCTGTGTTTGAGCAGTAGTGGACTGAGTCAAGATGCTTGGTCACACAAATGCCACACAATATAGCACCATCTATTGGGCCACTAAAGGTGGTGCAGTCTGCTCCTGTGGATGCATATGTGCAAATTAAGGGTTTTATAACAGAATGTGATACTCAAACGCAGTTCTGAAAGCTGTGTGTAAAATCAAAGTTTGATTTAAAAATAGACGCTGATTCATAAAATAAAACTTTGTAATCTCTTGAGATCTTTGAAAGTGAATCCCAAGTAACTGGTTATTACTTTTTTAAATGTTAACTGAGGATGAAATGTGGTGATGAAATAAAAACTCACATTCAAAAGGTTTGGTCAAATTGATACAGTATTATATGAGCCAGCTACTAACACAATAATTATTGCTTTTTCTCCTGGGTCACAGCAGCAAAAATACAGAATTAAATTGTAGATTCAGACCGAGCTTAGTAATGGAGTGCTTCACAATGGATTTATAATGAAATACCAGATGAACCTAAAAATATTTACTGTACTGACTACAAGAATAGTTGCCTGTTTCTTGTCTTCCTGATGACAAAGTTTGTCCCTGACATTCTCTTAGTTCTCTGTAGGACTTGAATTCTGAATCCAGGAAGCATTAACTGCCTCTTATCATAAAAGACCCTCTCCTCCACAGTCCCTGTCTTTTAAGGATGACTCACACCAGTACTAACTGTATTGCCTACTTGCTGAAACTCAAAGACAAAACTCTAGCGGGTGAACAGCGACTCAGAGCCTTCCGGCTTCAGTTTGCATGGACCTCTGACCTTTTCACTGCAGACATAAACAAGACTGAATGTTTGGCTGATAAGAGAGAGCCCTGCAGGAAGCGCATGGTCAACTGTTTCTCTGTAGTGTCTGCAAACCCCCTCTCACCGCTCACCCCATGACCCCTGTCAGAGATAATGCAATGTCACTGCCACAAAAGCCACTCCCCCACCTCACCCCTCTGACCAATGACGGTTCACAGTGGACGCCTCAATCCACAGGGTGAGAGAGGTGAATGTACCAGCATGACTCAAGCACTGACCATTCATAAACCACAGTCTATGGGTGGAGAGGAGCACTGTGGGCAGGTTTGAAAATGGCATCAGTTAATGTGCTGCTGCTTATCTATATGACTTAAACACCTGAGAGAACATTTTGCCTGATTCACTAAACCCTCCTTCAGTTACTATAGAGTGTCAAAGGGATGACATTTTACATTTTACTGTTAGCCTATGAAACAACTACACCACGGTCCCATGACTTCAGCGTCACCACCACAGCTTCCAGCTTGTAGTTTGATTCAGGACACTTTGCTCTTATACAAAATCCTTTCCTCTTAGCATGACCTGATCTAGCTGGGGATCATGGCTGTCATTTAGTTAGAATAGTTTGCAAGTGTGCGAGTTTAAAAATAATAAGGCTGTAAAGGCGGGTGAGTGAGTAGACTCTGTAGTCTCATTTAGCCACGTGTTAGCAACCACCTTTTTTAACCTCCATGTCGAACTGTGAGAGGTTTTGGTTGTAAATATTAACACACCTGTTGTGTTCAGAAAGCAAATGTGCTCAGTTAACGGTTGTGTGAGAGCATTCTCTCAGGATTTTTTTTACCTTTCTGTACACTGTTGCTCAGTGGAGCTGCTGTTGATTTTGCCCTGCACCAGTGTGAGAAAGTGGAACATTTTGGTCCAGAGAAGAGGTTCTACAGGAGGACCACATTTTGGCTGGATCGAGTGGATTCTCCCCATCTCTGCTGCGATCAATCTGAAGAGAGAAAACATTTTCACAGATGAGCCTGGCAGACGCTGTTATTGCACAAACAACCATTATCAGAGAAGAAACACAACTCCCTTTCCATTTAGCATTCTTATCTTGTTCTTTTCAAAAAAAAAGGGCCCTGTTGCATTTGTGACCTTTTGACCAGTTGAGTGCTCATTCTCAAGGCATTTTTTTTTTTGATGACATGAAGTTTTCTGGGTATTCCCCTCACAGCGTATCAGGCAGTGCAGGGTGACTGATGTGCATTGTGGCCCTGACTGTTCAATCTTAGCTGACTGGGTTGTGTCTTACTGTCCTGCAATGAAAGTAATGATGTTGACCTGTTATCATGAAAATAATGAATGAAACAGGTGGTTAAACACTGCTCAACATGAAAAGTGACTCAACTAAAATTATTTAAAAAACAAAACAAAAAAAAAAAAAAACAGCTGCATCAACACAACTGAAACACTCAACTATGCACAATGTCCAGAAATTTTCAAGGTTTCACAATATTCTCAAAAGCGGACCTCAAATCAAGATCAAGGATCAAGATTAAAGATTTTTACTGTCAATACACCATATGTGCAGGACATACAGAAAATCAAAATACCGTTTCTCTCTCACCTAGTAATGAATGCCATACCATTTAAGAAACTAAAATAGAATAAAAGTAGAATAAAACAGAATAAGAAAACTAAGTTAATAATTAGGATAAAACTAAATGGTAACTAAATCAGTGACAGGTCTAAGATATCACAAATCCTGTGATTTCTTAGAATTTAACAGCTATATTATGTTTAAATCTTAAAACTGAAATTTCAGATACAGTGGAACCTCGGTTTTTGTGATTAATCCGTTCGAAAAAGTCCGACGGAAACCAAATCGTACAAAAACTGAAGCAATATTTCCCATAAAAAAATAATGTAAATCCAATTAATCCGTTCCAGACACCCAACAATATTAACAAAAAATACATTTTATAGAAAATAACTATATTTTTACATAGAAAACAATAAGAAACAACTATAAATGACTAATGAAATGGATAAATGAACATTTAACATCACTTTTACCTTTATTGAAGACACTTGTTGGTGTATGGAAGATGTCGAGGAGGGGAGAGGGAGGAGGAGAGGTTATTGTTTGGATGGGGAATCCCCCTCCATAAGAACTTCATGTATCAAGGCCCCATCTGGGGTTACTTCCCTTCACTCATTTCTTCCGAGAAATGAGTGGCCAAGTCACGCGGGCAGGCGGACGAGTTTGGTACGGACTAATGACGCTGAACCGACCAATCAACTGTACGAAAACCGAGCAGATGTACGAAAACTGGGACAAAATTTCGCTGAAAAAAGTCGTCGAAAACCGAATCATACAGAAAGTAGAGCATACGAAAACCGAGGTTCCACTGTAAGTTAAATTCCACGTGTCATTTTAATCACTGGTCATTGTGATTTTGATGGTGCACATTTTTATATGATGATGCAGTAATGTAATGTAAAAAAAAAAAAAAATCTTTTGTCTGGGCAGTCTGCATAGATGAGTGGCTTTCAGGGGACATCGATGCACATTGGTGTGAGCAATGAACCATGAGCTTCCCCTTAAAATATTTACCATTTCTCTACACTCCTCTGTTGATCAAATGAACTTTACAAGAGGAACAGATGAAAATGTGAGAACTGCTGTGGGAGAGACCTGTAGATGGAGGGTTGTTGGAGCAGCTTGTCGTCCAGCACTGTTCCTCTAACAAACTCATAGCAGATGCCGTTCTGGAAACTGCAAAAGATCTGTGGACCACAGCCATGGGCATGGAAGACTTGGAACATTTCCATCTCCCGGTCCCGGTTCACATAGAGCTCCGTCATTCTGCCGTACAGTCTAACCAAAACACAGCCAGGTTCCTGGACGGAGCCCACATAGCAGCCAATCAGCTGGTTGGTGATGCCTTCTGTGAAGGTCTGCAATGAACAGAATAATACAAAAAACAGTCACAGGTTGGATTTTTCCAGTTAAAACTAAAGTACAGCATACAATAAATTGTAATATACTGTAGTCTCCAAAGAATCTGTAACATTTAAATCAGCACTGATTTTCTAAGAACACTAAACTGGTGCTTATGTGTAACTTTAATGACACTAATAACAGAGAAGTTTCTTTCCAATAGTACTGACATGTAAACAAAAAAAATTACAGGCAGCCATAGATAGCCTTATTCTACAAGTACGATGTCAGTGAAATATGTGCTAGTTTAATGGGTCACTCTGCTAAAACATCAGGCTGTAACAATCCTTGACGAGTCACACAAAGCCCAGAGCTTTAGAAGGTAAATAAATGCATCCACCACTGCATTTATTTAAATGCATCTGGTGAAGTTTTTGGAGGATGGCCACTGCTCTGTCTGTCAAAGGTAGCATGGCTCTTCTTAGACCACCTGACCACTGCTGCAACAGTGCAAATAATCTTTCCTCAAAAGCAAAACACAACCAAAAATAACTGAATGTACAATTAAACTGGCATGTAAAAAAAACAACACACAATTATGCAAAGGTAGATTTTGTGACAGCAGGTAAATGACAGATGTACAGCGGCAGTGAGCTGCCGCCTGAGCTTGTTAACGTTAAACATCACACTTCCAGCACAGGCTGTACTTTGTTACTGTATGTGTACACAACCATACCACAGTGACCACTGTTTGCCTTCAAAGGTCTCATCGGACATTTGTTGTCATTCAGTGGTTTCTCAAACCTTCTCATTCTCTGCCACAGTCTCCACAGCATTTTGTGAGCCTCAAATGAGACTTGCACACAACAGTTTTTCATCTAGATTTAAAGTGAACAAACATGACCACCTTGACATCTGATCAAGTATTTATATACTGCATGGAAGACCACTTGGATGTTTTCCACTGGCTTTGAGATTGTTATCTGATTTGTACGTAGTCTTTACAAGAAAGTATCGTACAGTACTTCATAAGGTTCATTAATAAATTGCAATTTGACAACAAAAACTCACAATTTAAAGCACTAAACTTACTTCTGATCATATATAAATGGAAAATAGAAACTGTTTTATAAAAGTGCTAAATGAGCAAATACTGTAGATGCATTTGTAATTTTTATTCCAGACTTGTCTGAATAAGAATTATATTTTCTATTGTCTTTTTTAAAAAAAATTTTAATTTATGTGAAACACTGACATTGTCTCCAGATTTTAGTAATCCCTCTTAAGTATATTTTTTTTCAAATGCAGGCAAAATGCTCAAATTGCTTCAATGTATAAATTAGATTTATTAATGAACTTGCATCATCTTGAGCTTAATCTGTTAGTTCATTAAAAAGAACAAAAAGATTACAATGTGCATCACAGGGAGGCACAAAACAAAAATGGTAAAATATATACATTTCAATACAAGTCAAAACTAAATAATTTCAAAGAAAAAAAACTCTAAAACACTGCACAGTTAAAATCACAAGTGTACCAGCAGAAGCTGTGTGTCCTTCCCTTGTACAGTGTGTGTGTTCTGACTCAACGAACACAATACATCATTAAAGGAACTGTTGGGATGTGAGGGCTGAAGGTAAATATCGTCTCCTTTGTGTACATTACTGGACCAGGGGTAGATAGAGAGGTCACCCATCCAATGTGCTGTCACCTAACAAACATAAACCCTATTTCTCTGAAAGATTGGACCTTGTGTTTGCACATGGGACCAGAATGGCATTATCCTGTTCTGAACAGATGCTGTGACAACACCTACACATCTGTTTCCAGGGTTTAAAAAAAGTCGACACCTCTGTTGTCCAAGTTACCTTGGCTTTTTAATTTAAAAAAATAAAAAAATAAAAATAAATAAAAAAAATAGTAGCATATATACAGAAGCTGAGACATCCGAATTTGCTTTGATAAATCAGTTTTTCCACTGACTGATTTTATTTTGAAAAGATGAGCATCAATAATATTCAGTATATTCAACATGTCTGGTCCTTGTCCTTCATTGTGAATGAACTGGCAGTGGATTGGACCGGCTGTCATCTGTTCCCACACCAGGCATTTTGTGTCACTTCCCTTTGCAAACACACCTAGCTGTATTGTTGTTTACAGATTAGCTCCCAGCTCACCCAACACTAAATTTCTCTATACCACGACCAATTTTTGAGTTGTAACTTACGTTTGCACCACTCAAGCACCTGTTTTACATAATATCTCCGTCGACATGGCGTTACATTTCTGAGAGGTGCTCATCAGTCTAAAAGTTTAGGCTAGCAGGGCTATGCATTACCTACGTCGTACCTATGACAGATTCAATGCAGAACTATAAATCAAGCTTTAGTGAGAAACTATGCACCTACATCAGTCAGTATAGTGGAGGACAGATATTTAACAGGTATACAAATAAGAAAACAAATTTTTGAGTGGAGAGGGTCATTAAAAACTATACTTTAATAAAAAGTGAAACTCAAACATCACAGTTAATGTGGTCTGACATCAAACCACTCGTATGCCAACAGTCTTGAATGAGGGTGTATACGGGTTGTAACTGAAAACACCTGTGGGGAGATGTGCCTTTACTACCGTAGATGTAACACTGTTTCAACAGTTTTTACGAGCCAGCAAAACAGATCAATTGCTAAAGGTGTGTTTGTTAACACAGTTTTCAAACAACTGTTTGTTTCACTAGATGCTGCACAAACATAACGCAAAATGAAACTGAATTCATTTAACTTTATATCCTCATGCAAACACGAGTACCACATCACAACCAACTGGCATGTTTAGGGAAAAACTTGTAGGGAGACCCCATCGTGTGGGACCTGTTCCTAAATTACTTCTCAGCTTGTGAATGTAGTAATGTTGTCTGACAAGATTTTTGTGTGTACAGACTAAAACACACTGAAGTCTAATTTGATGTTTTGCCCATCATACTTTTGAAAATATCTTCCCTTAACACAGCTTAAGAGGCTAAACATACAAAGATTTCATTCATTTTGTTTGAAAGTCAAAAAGTAAGTCATTAAAATTAAGTGACTACAAAGGTTAAAATGATATTCACGATACAGCGACATTAATGTCACGTCACTTCAAAATCTAATTAACATTAACAGAACATATGCAAGCTATTTTTACACTGTTTCTAAGTGGCCTTATATGGTAATCTGCTACAAATGAATGTAACAACAGAAGACGTTAACTCAGGCTGTTGATCTAGTGTGACTACAAGGTTAGCACTAAAGCTAAACACTTTGCAATCGTGTGTGAACACCTCCAAGTCAGAATAAGGGTGTAGCATTAGTGAGGCTTTCTCGTTTCCCATCCTTGGAGTTACGTAGGCGCACCAAACCCTACAACCTGTGATTACACAGGTTCCATACGATTTGAAGTTGAAAGAAATTCATCTTAATGGCCAAAACTTCAAAATTGCAGTGATCAGTGAATTATAGATAAAACCTACTTTTGCAAACAAACATTCACTTGCCTTCATCTGAATGTTCTGTTCCTTCCAGTGAGGACGCAGTCTGCTGAGAAGGTCCAGGATTCCTCTACGAGGTTCATGCTCATCAATATAAATGTCCACATAAAGAACCTCATTCCCAGCACCAGCCGACCTACTGTCCATCGTCAAAAAAACAAAAGTACAGTAATAACTTTGAGATTTTACCTTCAAAAGACTTTTCAAAGCCTGTTCACAAACTCTCAGACCAAAGTCCTATTCTGTTCTAAAACCAGCCAAGTTATGATCAGATATTAACCCACTTCATCAAAATATTTGCCTCAGTTATGCCGACATACTCCACAACAAAGCCCTATCAAATTTGTCAGAAAGATTAAAGAGCCATCAGGAGTATTTGACAGTAATTCAAATTGGCCAGTGTCTCCAAATTATTAAGCAGTCCAGCTTGCTTAACAGAGGCCAATGGGCATCTTCATCGCCACAGCTTCACAGTTTACATATTAACCACCGGTGGCTGCAGCTCTGCAGCAAACATGTGCAGGGTCAAACCTTAGGTGTTTGATCCGTTCAATCGATACTGACTCGAACCTCATCAGAACAGCTGTCTGTCAGCAGAAGGACTGTGTGGTCTTCAGCAGAATGACAGCAAAAATGTACTGGACAAAAAATGTTTTTCATGTTGGCTCATCGGGAACAAAATCAGCAGTGTTTATATGCATAGATTTATTAATTTTATTACTTTCCCTGTCTTTCTAGTCTAAAGTAAAACCAGAAAGCTCACAGTGACACCAGGACGCTGAGCCATCCAACACACAAATAGGCTAACAAGTGATCTACCCGATTTAAGCAGCTGTCTGGTGTGATTACACTTCAAATGCCCCAAAGGAAAAAATATACCTCAAGTGTAAAAAAGGGGTCCAGGGATGAAGCGTGTCTCGGAGTCAGTGACAGACCTGCAGATAAGCTCTGTGATGACAGTAACAGAGTTTGTTACGTCTGTCGACCACTTCTACAGTAACGGCAGTCGTTTGTGCATAACCTGTTTATTTTGCAGTGCAGTTGCTCCCAGTGTGACTGAAACAGTCACAGCTTTAATAAATCTGGTCGCAAAATGCAACTGATCGCTCAGAGTCTGAAGCCCTGTAATCTCTAAAAAGATACAATTAATTAAGGAAAAGAATGAACTCTCACTGCTGAAGGGTGTGCTGGTCTTTGTGGGTTCTTAAATATGGACCTTTCGTTATAGTTTAATTAGTTAAAGATTATAGTTTAATTAGATAAAGATTTCTGTATTTCTAATTCTAATAAAACTGTAGTAAATGTACAGGATTTGTAGTTACATAACATTTGAGTGAAACTGACCACGGGTGTATCAGCTCTGGTGTCATCTGTATTATACTGCATCGGAGTCATTCTGGGGCACAGCTAAAAGAAAAGTGCCTGTAAATAAATGAAAAACGTTATTTATTTCATATTAAACTAAAAAAAAACAAACAAAAAAAAAAAATTTCAATACCTACTTCATATATACACACACACACACACACACACACACACACACTTTATCCATGTTTCCAAATTGATTAACTTTCCTGTAGTCCATTCAAACAGATGGCAGTCTGCGCCGTCAGCCACAAAGAGGTGATGTGTGTACAAATTGAGCTCAGCATATTTTTTTCCCCAAAAACTGAGCTCTCTGTGCTATCAATTTCAGCACAGCTTTCTGACCCACCAAGCTGTTCTTACATTAAAACTGAGCACATTGCAAACAGGTCCCCCCAGGGTGTAAGCAGAATTTAGGTTACAGTTTACTTTTACCAAACTACATTCAAGCAAACAGACCAAAAATCAAGTCCAGAAGAACTCTTTTAGTTCTCTAAATAGTTTTCAGATGTGCTGAATTTGGCTTGTCTGCAAAGACTTTACAAGGGTGGAGTCTATTGTCTAATCTGAGTCATTGTGTAATCTAGAGGACCTTCTCAAATTTCTTAGAATTAGTTTGCTCAAACATGACCTTTCATGCCAGCTCAATGCCATGGAACATTTCAACATGATCACTCTATAAACACAAAACAAATTTCATAAACATGGAAGCAGCATGTTTGCAGTCTTAAATTATTTAGATGTTGGGCCAATGTTTACCATTTTTCATCGTTTCAGTAATTGCCTAGACGTCACAAACGCGGTGATTGTCTTGAAATGAATAGTTTGCAAGCTTTTAGACGCAAATGAAATTCACTTGCCCGTCTCATCATCAAAGATGTTGGGTATTGAAAGAGAGACGAGTGTCTCTATTAAAAATGTAAGGCTCAGGCAGTAGAATAGAGTGGTGGAGTCAGGGCTTGTGTTAATGCATGTACTGTACCTCTCAAGTACATCTGAACAAGGGCTAGTTAAAAAAAAAGAAAAAAAAAGAGATTACACCCACAATATACCGTTATGACACTTTTCAGACAGATTCACTTACTGTATGTCTGGCTTTTTTCTTTTTCCTCATGACTGTTAATATGGAGAATGCAGACTAACATTTGGGCCTTTGAGCCTTGAAAATTAATCATTTATGAAAGGATCAAAAAAGCACCAGTTGTGTTAAAGGCAGTATGAAAGAGGAACAAAACTGAGTTAATGTTGCTGGAATTTTTCTCAACTTCCTGACATTACCTAGACTGGGGGGTGGTTCCCACTCAAGTCATTAAAGCAGCAGAACCATAATAAGTGCAAGTAAAATGAGTGGAAGGAGAATATCAGAGGAGTGGATCATAATTAGCAGATTATATTTTGTTGCTAATAAAGGATCACGTGTCCAATAATTTATGGCTGTACTTTGACAAGACAGGGTAAAGAAGAAGGATTAACAACAGAAGTGTTGCGGGCAGCAGTGTCATGGAGTAGGAGTACCATAGCAAAGTAAGAATTTCATTGGACAGGGAAACATGTTTCCCAACTGTGCATATGGCAAATAAACACTTTGACCTTGACCTATAGCTGAGAGATTTCACATCAGGTCCCAGATCAGAGCACGAGGAGCTACTTGAGTGTAAACAAAGAGGAGAGCTCGTGCCAAAATCTCACACATGCGCAGTTGACTCCAACTCATGCTAATTTCAGGAAATTATTCCAGCTTGGAGCCTTTGAAGCAGGATAGCTGGGTCTGGGGTTTCATTAAGAAAATGAGTGGAGGTAATTTATTGTCGGTTTTAGTCTCTGTATGGAGACAGCTAAAAATACTATTCATACACAAAATGACCGGCCTTATCCTTCAACTCTGAAGAGATACCAGATGACTAATAGCTGCCGCTCTATGCAGCAGTGATTGATCAGGTGCTGAGCGTTGCTGTATAAATGTCCATTCTCTCCTCCCTCGATGAAAATGCCTGAAAATACATATTGCATGAGACCAATGTGCAAATTCCTGTGGTGTCGCTTTTCTTGTGTTTCTACAGTGAAAATTCTCCAACTCAAATCCCCAGTGCGACACCTTAGTAAATATGAACACAATTTCACTGTTTATCACCAGAAAATGACCCACAAACCTTTGTAAATATCCCCGAGTGTGTATGTAATGTAGGAGAAGGTTGTCTGTTGAAGGACATATCAGTTGGAGAATGAATTTGTGTAGCTTCCAGGTACAAACAGTTTTGTTTGTGTGGCTCTTATACTTCTACATGTTAGTTTTTGTCATCAATGTTGTCATGTTGAGATATTTAAGTCTGTAATTTTAAGTATTTTTTAAAAATTCTAATTCCCCCCAGTCAGAAACATGTTTGAAAATTTGCAATGTTTGAAGAAGAAGAATCCATAAAGAAATACATGAAACATCAATATAATACTACTTCAATAGGTACAGGACATGTCAATGTCTTTAAGTGACCATGTGTACAATTTCTAAAGAAATGGTGTATGTGCATAGTGTCAAATCAATGAAAAATGCACATACAAATATATATTTATACTTGCATTCCAAATGTTTGCAAAATGGCAAAAAATGTGTAGGGCTGTGTGTGTGTGGGTGGGGGGTTGTATCTACCACTAAGAGAACATTTGATAAATGTTTACATCAAATCACTTCATCAACTGACTTTTAAGAATTTTAAATGAATTTGTCCTTCACAGTGCATCATTTTATGTTACACAAAATCCCATGGCTTCTTTCTTTCTTTGGTTTCTTGCTGTCTTTCAGAAGTTTCTGAAAAGAGAAAATTCCCTTTTATTACTAGGCAAACAGTTGTTGGTGTCCTTTATCAAACAGCTCTTTGGAGAGAAAAGGAGAGAGAGAGAGAGAGAGCGCTATGCAGACATTTAACCTTTTTATATAGTCTTACAAATGGGGCTCTCAAGGCCTTTCGTTTGTGAAGTTCCTGTGGAAAAAAAAAAAAAAAATCAGGGAGCTTGGGCCCATTT